TGTTAGTATTTGATTTGTCACAGATAATTGTTCAAGATGTCATAAGAAGAAGATATCATAAGAACAAGATGTCATGAGAAGATACTGAATCCTGTAGCCATTATATTACCGGTACCTTTGTAACCGGTATGTACCGTACCAAACCAGCATATGAATTTTGGTGCCTTATTTCAGTGCTACTGGTGCTACGACAAGGACGTAAGACGCATCAAGGGGGGCATCAAAGACACTCATAGGTACACGTTGTCACACCATCTCTAAACATTTAATTGTAAAAAACTTTGAGGAATACGAACAGGTGATGTCAGGCGTTTGTTCTTGTTGCTTAAGGAACGGACGCATGCAGTACAGCGTATTCGGTGAGCAACAGCGACTCTTTAGATCAACACGCATGATGGCGTTCATCAAATTTGCTTAAGCTAAGCGTTCAAAAGCATATTTTACAAGCAAATATTCTGTCACAGCAACGAGAAGCAGATGCTATACAAAAGTTGTGTGTAAGAGGGAAACACGTCAAACTTAATGATACATTAGAGGGCTCAAAGCCAAAGGAATGCACTGTCTCTGTCATCATCTGGCACTTTCAATGAGAACGTGCATGGACACCAATGCTCCAATTTGAATATGGTTAAGACAGTACTCTGATTTAGAGTCTAGACTACCATGTAAACAGCGATTTTTGATTACCTTAAAGGACCACAGACACCTGTGTCGCAAAATGCATAGATTTTTTCTTTCCATTCAACGTGCGGTATCAAATTCCATTAAAAGAGCACTCTTCCTGCAGTCCTTACTTAATACTCTCATTAAATACCTCAGTTTGTCAAGGGTGCATGAATAAAAAAATTAAACTGCAGTTAAAGTCGAAAAATTAAAAATGAAACTCCTCAAATTACATGAAACTCTGTAGGAAACATGGATAGTGTGGTGACGCAATGACGTTGATGGATCTATGTACTATAACATGTAAGACGGGATCATGAAAGGAATATTCAAAAAGCAACTCATGTAAACACCTTAATCATATTACTGTCTTATTCAGATTAAGGCAAATCATTAGATTACTGATAACCATGTAAACATAGTCACAACCCTAGAAAAAGGGTTCAGTATTTTGTTCAGTATTTTGATGAGAGCCTATCCAGAGGTTAGCAGTAAGCTAATGTAATTTCATAATGCAAATCTTAAATTCATGCTAACCAACAAATGATCCAAGGAAATATATTATTGTAATTTCAATATATAAAATTAAAAGACTTTACTTGAAGCTTAAATTATATTGTTCTTTTCAAAATATTTAAAAAAAAGATTTTGTCAAATAAAATATTTTTCTAGAGTCATCCACCATAATTTTGGGGCTCAACAGTATCAGTTCAGGCACCTTTATTGGCACGGAACAGTTTTAAAAGTATCAATTAAGCTCCGGTAAGGAAATAACCCCAAACGATACGATACCTAACCATAGTCATAAGGATGAGTCAAGTCACTAGAAGAGTAAATGTTCTACAAACATATAAACTATTAAATTATGATTGTATATTCATAAATGTGTTCTGTTTTCCTGTGAATATGTGGTTTTATAAATGTGATGTTTTGATGTGAATATGAAAATTTCCTATTGAACTAAAAAACAATGATCATTTAAATGAGTTTATTTGACCTAAAGGAGTTGAACATACATTGCAAGATATTTTTAAATGAACTTTTACACAATCTAAAACAACAACATTGTATTTTATAGAGACAAGCAAGATATTAGGCTCAGATGCAAAACACACTTTTTAAAGCAATATATTACGTAAAGATATGACCAATGGAGAATACACTGTTGAAAATAAAGTCACAACACTACCAGGAAACCAAGATCTAATAAAATCAATTTACATGAATTATTAACTTTTTTCAAATGTTCAGAATGCTTTAATCCAAACAATTGAACCATTATTATCTTTGTTAAATCTCTCAAGCCTCCTTTTTGTTGGAAGAGAATGAGATCGAAATTTTAAATGTACACGAAAGCTAAATATATAATAAAAATAATTTCATAAGGTCTTTAAAAAGGATATAAAGTGCACAATAGTAAGTTAAATGGCTGCAATAAATGTTACACACAGTAGGTGTTCAAATGAATGAAAACAAGTCTTTCACTCTTAGTAGTTTCTGCAGATGAAGTTGAGTCGGTCAGTTTCAGGACGGCTGATCCAGGTCTGATCTCCTCCAGACTGAACTGCTCCAGATCTCACTGTGGGCTCACAGAACTCCTCTGATGTGCCGTTCCCTGGAGCCCAGTTCTGATAGCACACGGTCTGTTCACTCACCCAAAACCAGATGCCCAAAGCACAGGAGTGACGTAAACCCAACCACTTTGCATTTGGTTGGCGGACTTGTGTTTGACCTTTTGCCTGTACGATTATGATTTTGGATGTTCATTTATTTACCACCAGTTTATCTTCACAACAATCCAACCATTAAATGCATTTGAATTTTACCTTTGTCCCCATCACGTGAAATCTCGTAAGACCTGGAGATCCGCTAAATGGATTACAAAACTCCAACGTTTAAATGTGTAATAGGTGATTGTCTTCAGAAACATTTGTTGTTGAGCTAGTTGAAAGTCTCTTCACATTCCAATAGTAATGATTAAAGTAAATGATCTAAATGTATTTATATGCATTTTTATACTCTAGGTAAGGCATGGGACTAAAAAAATGTCCAATGTAAAATTTCAGGCCAAACACTACTATAGGTAGCCCAAACTGTCTGTCAACAAATGTAGATTTGTATATCTGTGTACTCTGTTCAAGCAGACAGATACGGCATTTGCATGTACACATGACCCGCTGATGACAGAGAGTGTAAAATGGCAGACAAACAACAACAACAATCTGAACGTCTTTCAATATCCCTTTTGCATGTTGCTTTTGCTATACTGCTCAAAACTGTGATCTGTGAATGTTTTAAACCTATGTTAGTCACTCCAAGTGTTCTATTACCAATGGACAATATGCATGTAAAGTGGATGACAGATATTGACGTCAGCAGAACCAACCACACTGGAAATCCTTGCATGCATAAAATATTGCAGTTTTACACACGTTTTGCTTGCTACACAACAGAAAATGTGCTAGATTGTAAAAGCGTACGCTATTATAAAGTACTATAACATTAAAACTAATGAAATACATGATGTAGTGTTATAAGGCATACCTGTAAACACTGAGATGTGAAAATAAGGTCATCCCCCCACCCACCCCTTAACAAAAATAAAAAATCCCAAAATTACTAAATATGTTTATCTGAAGCTGTTTTATTGTAAATAAACAATCGAAATAGTCAGTATTATGTTTTTATTATTATTATTAATTACAAAGGATATAACAAACAGCAGACATTATGGAAAAAAAAATGCAAAATCAAACAGATTTGCCTACTCAAATAATAGATATACAGAAACTTATTCTAAGTTATCACCATTTCTTCACAGCAAAATTTAATTAAACATTCTAACTTAACAAATCTCTCGTTTAGATGTTTATTTTAATTACATTACATCACAGAGGTTGGTGTCACTTTAAGAATGCACAGATCTATAATGAAAGCATTTGAAACCAGCAAAGCAAAGACACCAAGATCGACATGTTCACATGATAGTATTGTCTGTTTGAACATGCACCCAAAACCCTGAGTGGGTTTTAACTTCTGCCCCTCTTCAAATCGCGTACAGAATCCATTCGGGAAACAGCATCTAAATATCAACATGGAGCGTGTCAGACAGTCACTCATCACAACATGAACTGACTGATTTGAGGATTGCATAGGAGGGGCAACAGTACCTGTAATAGAAAGGAAAGGAATGCCACCTTTTTAATATTTATGTCATAGTGTTTTCAAGCCTACATAAAATTATTTCATACTTAATAGCAAGGGGCAACCCCTTGTAGTTCAGCTGTACTATGCGTATAGGTAAGCCTAAAATATGGAAAATACTTCAATGCTATGTTATAAGCTTGTCTATTCGGTGTGTGTGTGTGTGTGTGTGTGTGTGCGGCTTTGTAGAGCAGGGAGTGACGTTTGTTCTCAATTCTGTTACACTACATTAGCGTAATTTTTAGTTCATAATTTTCACAGATCAACTACTTTAACTCTGCAGGAGCTGGAAAATTTTGAAAAAAATTATTTAAAAAAAGAGTTGCTTTATTAATAAATACACTTTAAAATATTTGGACTATTTTAGTGTCAAATTTGATGTAAAATATGACAAACCCATCTGCTGGGTTAATTTGATTATTAAATGTATCTGTATTTTACCCAAGTTTCACAAAGATTTAAAAATCCACACAATGCTGTGCTTTAAAACCCCTTATTACTACCCTAATGCATTTATGCTAACTGAACTCATAGCCATATGTAATATAAAATGATTACTTCACAATCCGATGATTAATGAAAATGAAAGAAACTCATAATCTTACATTTTTACTCTTAGTAGTTTCTGCAGATGAAGTTGAGTTTGTCAATTTCAGGACGGCTGATCCAGGTCTGATCTCCTCCAGACTGAACTGCTCCAGATCTCACTGTGGGCTCACAGTCCTCCTCTGATGTGCCGTTCCCTGGAGCCCAGTACTGATAGCACACGGTCTGTCCACTCACCCAGAACCAGATGCCTAAAGCGCAGGAGTGACGTAAACCCAACCACACCGCCTCAGTAGACGCCAGTTTAACCACGTTCATCACCTCATACTGCATCTCCACTGACTGAACCGAGACCAGATCCACATGATTCTGTCTGCAGTATCTCAGAGCTTCAGACCACGACTTTGTCTGCTGGATCACAATCAGTTTATCTGGACACAAAACAAAGCAGAAACTAGAGAGAGACTGATCAACAACAACATGCAGAACAAACACTGTGGAGGAATTTGTCATGTCAGACATGTAGAGTCAACTTTAAGAGATCTGGAGCTGATGATGGATTGAGTGTGTTTGGAGGATCTGCTCACCTTCATGACACACAAAAGGAAACTGGTTGTAATTACTAGAGTAGTCAGCCCATTGTCCTGATATGTTTGGTTGAATAGCGGCACTGTATGAAGAATCTTTAAAATTAGCAGCCCAGTATCTAAATGAAGAGTTGCTCTGATCTGACCACTGCCATGTGTCTCTGAACAGACCGATCCAGACTGCAGATCCAGATGAGTTTCTGTCATTAATGAACTTCTCCAGTTGTTGACTCTCATTCTGGTTCCTCACAGTGACCAGATCAATGTGATTCTGTCTGCAGTAACTCTGAGCGACTGTCCAGTTCATGTTCTGATTGACAAACACCAGTCCTCTGCTCACTTTAAGAAAATAAATTAAAACAATATTTTATTAGTTTATTCATCTGCTGTATGTAAACAAATCAGTACTTACAATTTAAGAAGAGTTTTTGTAGAGTTGTGTTATTATAAGTTTATGTTGATTAGAAATATTACTATTTTAAATCCTCTAAGGGGAATTATAATTCAACATCACATTTTCTGTTTGTCTGTGAGATAATAGTACAAAGTAAATTTGACTAGATATGTAGTTTATTTTTTTTCATAATTTTTTTTACTTTTGTCACGCTTTAATTGTTTATTAAAGCATACTTTGTTATGAACCAATCCCAATTTTACCCCTTAGCCCTTCCCCCTACCCCTTGTTTTTCGCATTCCTGTGAAGAGGTAGTGGTGTCCCAATTCTCTTTAACTTGAAGGCGTAGGGCTAAGCGCAAGAGGTATACACCCTTTCGAATGAAGATTATTCAGGACCACAGTTGAAACCAAGGGGTAAGAAATTTTCCCTGAATACACCAGCCACAACAGCAGGATGGCAGATCCACAAAGTAGTATTTTTGCCATTATTACGAATTTTTACAACAAACAAGCACATGTTTTAATATATTTAGAACTGCGTTGGTGTTTTACCGTCATGCTTTAAAAAATAAAAACTCTAAAATAAAAACAGCAAAATTTTGCTATCTGTAATCCCTAATAATAACTTCTGTTAATGTTGTTTTGGTGTGTTTATGTAGATGAATATGGCCATTGTGTAAATGCACAGTACAGTTATGATCTTATTGCCACATTAGATAGTTATGATAACATAATATATGCTTTCAGTGATTTCTTAAAGATAAATACCAAAAAATAACACAACTGGAATAACTACAGAAGTCACCATAGTCTGATCTTACATGAAGCAAGAGATTGCGATGACGTGTGCAGGTGCTGTAGTGCTGTCCCAATTCTTAGGGTAAACTTTACAGCCCTTTGAGATTGAGCCTAAATGAACGTTTGCCACTGTAGTTTGTACTTACTGTTGTAGCAGATGAAGAAACATGTGTTATTGCATGACTCAGCAAACCACTGTCCATTTTTTATTGTGCCACAATTATAACTGTTGTTTGGTTCTCCAGATGCCCAGTTCAGAAAGAGCACAAGATCACCTGAAGACCAATGCCATTTAGAAACATTCGTCTTCTGAAGACCAATATAGATATTCTGATTGTTTACATTATTCACACTCTTGTTCAGCTGGATCATGTCGTTCATGTTGTCAACAGTGGCCAGATCTGTGTATTTCTCTCTGCAGTATCTCTGAGCTTCAGTCCAGTTCTTGTTCTCATTTATGAAGTGATACTGACGCTGAACACATTCAGATATGGAGCAGAGAGCTGTGAAAGAGACACTTTGCTTTAATGCTTTTCAGATCAGAGTCAAACCTAATGAAACTATAAACCATTAATAAAACTACAAACACACTCACCAATGAGGAGAAGAGGGAAAAATAGAGATTGAGCCATTTCTGAGAGAGAAACACATTAAAAGAAAACACAAACCATCTTTAGGTTTGGAGTAAAATGCTAGAAAAAAAGCATTTAAGCACAATTCACAATTTCTATTACTATGTCTGCAATCTGTTTGTGTGTAAATAATGTAGATGTGTGTTGTTCTTACCTCAGATGTGGAGTGTTTCTGTCCTCAGTCTGATGATTCTGTCTGAACTTCAGAATATGTGATTATTTTATATCTGCTGTGATCTGTCATTCAGCACGTCACTATATTTGCTTATTACTCCAAACAAAGGTCTTTTTCATTTTTCTTCCTCATTCAGGTGTATTTACACATATTTTCTCTGTGTTGGAAGTTTGTTCATTTGAATATGGTCAAGAGTCGAGTCTATGTTTTTTACAGTATTTATATGGAAGCTTCACAAGAAAAATCCACCTCAACATTTGCTTTTAAGTATGTTTTTTTCTTTTTCCATCCTCAATCTTTCTATAATGACATGCTTTCACACCCCCAAACACAAAATTTAAGATGCATTATGCATTCATAAGCACAGTATATACTCGGTGGTGTCGATATATTGGACAACAACAAACATGTGCAAAAACAACAGAAAAAACACTCAGCTATTTATTTTAAAAAAACATTGAGCATTTGTCATGTTTGCTGACTTACATGCATACGAGGAACTCCAGGGGGTTTAATTGCGTTCGGACAAAGCTGTAAATGGGTGTACGCAGTGAAATATTCAGATGGATGAAACACTGCCTTCGCCGATCCTACGCATATTCTCCTTGTACATTCAAATTAACATGAAACTGACCGCACATGCACGAGCGCAAAACCTCTCCCTGCCTCCTCCCCAGTATGAATATGCTAATGACTCTACTTTGGTAAAACCATACAAAAAAAGCAATGGCCAAAGCAAGCAAAAAGAGAAACTTTGAACAGAATGTGAACTGGAGGTGCTCCAATCGGAGGTAGACCGGAGAAAACGGTGTTATTTGCAAGTTTGTCGTTGGAATAAGCTAGTTGAGGGATTTCCGCCCATTTGATTGACTGAAACAGCAAAGCTAAAGAGGGCGAACATCAGCAGCAGGAGTGGTGTAGCTCGTAACACGCATGGCAACATGTGTTGACACTGTCAGTCATGAATCCGGTTTGAATCCAGCACCTGATGAACTCATTCTTCGTTTTTTACCCCACAACATATCAGATTTTGCCTACTCTTCATCACGAGGAAGACAAGTAGGAGTCATTATTAATTGCGAGTATTATGTTAAGCGCATTTGAGGATCACATATTATTTGAACATTAATTTAATGGAAAGTTTCTAATTCACTTATGCATATTAGTCTTCAGATAGCACCTTTATAGCAATGTGTGTGCAGTCGATCGATTCGATTACATTGGAAAAACCGGAAATCGCTGCAAGTTGCTCTTTAATGTTTGGCTGGTCAACTGTGTGACATGGAAACATTATATACCTGCTAGACGTGCGGTTGATCTCGTCCCATTTGTCATGTGCAATTTAACACAATTGCCTATAGGAGTCGCCAATTGTTACACCTGGCTCAGGGATGTAACATAATAAGGGAGACGACAAGGAGAAGTATAATCAAAAAGAATATTTATTTAACTCTATTTAAATTATATAATCAATATATCAGTATCAGTATGTTCAATCAGTGTGAAATGCAAATGTATGGATGCTGTAAATGTTGTCAGTGATAGTTTATGGATGCGAAACAAAGCATAAAAGCCAAATAGGAGCGCGGCTCTGGTCAACTGCCAAGTGAATGGACAGCGGCCCCGACAAACTCTCTGCCGGGGTTTAAATAAGGGCACTGACCAGCATCAGGTGCGCTGAAGGCACGCCCCCAATCTAGAATCAAAATCAAACACAATCAAAACAACGCAGTCCTAACACCAATGGAAATATAACAAACACACAAAAAATGTACATACGCCAGACATGAAGTTGGCGTGGACCAACGCACCTTCTCACATTCATTTCATCGTTAGTAAATCCAAATGTGAGCTTGAAACCCGGCATATGCAAAGTTTTTGTGCGTACGCAGTGTTGATACATGGGACCCCAGGTGTTACAACCCTTGTTTGTAACTAGTCAGGTCTGTTTTTTTGTCCTTTTTTTCTATTTTAAACACCCGAAATGTAAAGCCAAATACCCATATAAAAATAATAAACAAAAAAATATCCAGTACCTAAACACCCAAATGAAACTAATGGCCCATTTCCACTTATTGGTACAGTATGGTACGGGTGGGTACAGGTCATCAGGCTTGCGTTTCCACTTTCAAAACGGTGCCAATGGTGTTTGTGCGGGTCTCATATCATATGAGAAGCTCCTCACAAAACAGATGCTTATACACATAAATACTTGTGTATAAATGTTCATTACTAACCGTTATATGAACATGCTTTGATTATAACTGCAGATCAATGATTGAATAGCCTACTGTAATGTCAGCAATTATATCAACTAAATAAACATAACAACATATGAACACATACAGACCTTTACAATCTCTGATATTTTACCAATTACAGAAAAACTACACACAGCAGACGTTTAGTCATTATTTGGGTTCAAAAACAACACAAGATATAGCCCACAGTCAGTGCAAACCTCTCATCTGTGTCTGTCATGTTCAGCAGCACATGTAACCTCCTGCTAGAGATTAATTCTGTCACTCAGAGTTTATAATAGACCAAAAGTTGATGATAATGTTGAACATGGTGTTTGTCTGTTTCTGAAAGGATCGGATGTCAGAAGCACTTCAATAATCAGGCACACTTTATTATCATCAGCTAAAGAAGCTATTTCAAATATAGACACGTATGCGAGAAAGCAAGACCGCTTGCACTTCAGACGGCCTTGTAAACAACTACAGGGCACGGTGTAGATTCTGCCCTTCTTTTTGGCTTTGTAGCTGTTCATCAAGACAATGACAAGGTTTGTTTGAGCTCGGGTCGAACATGGCAAGCTATTATATGTATATATTTTTATGGTGTAATGTCTCGGCTGTGTATTTAAAAATGGCGCTTCCTTTGTTTTTATTCTCCTAGCTTGTGCACGTGCTTCTTTGTTAACCGAAAGAGTTCAGCTGTGCATCTAGCTTCTCCTTTTTGGTACTGTTTTGTTGCGCTAGGTACTCTTTGTAAAGGTGGGTCAGAACGAGACACACATACACACCTGCGAATGCAATACAGGCCTTCATTGACACTTAGTATTGTAATGTAATGTAACGTGTATTTATATAGTGCATTTATTGTGTATGGCCATACACCCAAAGCGCTTCACAATCATGAGAGGGGTCTCTCCACACCACCACCAGTGTGCAGCATCTACTTGGACACCAGCTATTGGTGGAGTGGAGAGACAGTGATAGAGCCAATTTGGTAGAAGGGGATTGGGAGGCCATGATCATAAGGGCCGATAGAGGGACTTTGGCCAGGACACCGGGGTTACACCGCTGCTCTTTCACGAGAAGTGCCATGGGATTTTTAATGACCACAGAGAGTCAGGACCTCGGTTTAACGTCTCATCTGAAAGATGGCGCCCACTGACAGTATAGTGTTCCCTTTACTTTTACTGGGGCATTAGGACTCACACAGACCACAGGTTGAGCGCCCCCTGCTGGCCCCACTAACACCACTTCCAACAGCAACCTAGTGTTCCCTAGTGGTCTCCCATCCAGGTACTGACCAGGCTCAGCCCTGCTTAGCTTCAGTGAGTAACCGGTCTTGGGCTGCAGGGTGATATGGCTGTGGCAAGACAAGGTTTTAAGCATCTCCGAAACTGCATTTATATTTCAGCTGGTTTATGAGGCACGTGTGCAGCTGGTCAAGACTAAACCATCAGGTACTCAAAAACATCTTTCTCAAATGACACTCATCTATAGCTAGAGTCAAATTTCTCATTCAATTTGGTGTCCCATTGACTAAATCTCACCACACAGATGGTGTTTAATTGGTTTATTTTGTTTATCAGAGCACCAAAGGCAGGGCAGGCAGAGCATTTCTGACACTTCTCAATTGACCTTATTCTAAAATGCATAAGTGCGCCTGTTTTCATGATTGTTTTACAACTTCTGATTCGGCCGCCTTTGGGAGAAATGACGAGGATTATAAACGTCAGAAAATGGTCAAACTACTTGCTCTACAAACAAATGTTTGCATGACTACACAGACCAAGTAGAATAATATAATAAGAAAATATCAGTTTGCAACATCAAGCAGCATAACGAGCAGTTTTTAATGTCTAAAAATGAATGTAAGTGAATGACATCGGAAGTCTCGAGCCAAAAAGATTCAAATGGCTGTGCCCACTTGTCGGCAAGGAATAAGGTGAATAGAGTTGTGTTTTAAGAACCGTTTTCAATTTAGAACCGGTTCAAAGTTGATGCGGTTCTTAAAAGATGCAGTCATTTCAGTTTTTCCTTGGTTTCAAGCAAGAAAGCACACTTTTGGTGCAATTAAAAAACTCTCGATAAAGAGAGAGAGAGAGAAAAAAAGTGAAATATAACTATTGTAACAGTTGTATCTGTACTGTATTTCTGACATAGCAAAGTATTATCTCTCTCTCTCTGGTTCCCTTTATCTTATATGCTTAAAACTGTGTTTATTTTATTCTGCTCTCATGTCATTCAATACGTCTCTTTTTTGTGTTTCTGTACTTCTTTTGCAGTGTGCTTATTTGAATGTGGTCAAGAGTCGAGTCTGTGCCTCATAATGAATTATTTTTAGCTGCTTCACAGAAAAAATCCATCTCAACATTTCTTTCCCGAGAAAGAGTGCACCAGAATGCTAGTAGCTCCCCTTTGTCATCCATAAATGAGAAACTGAGGGTGTCTCGATGAATCTTGATTTTTTTCTTTCTTTTGCACATAAAGAGCATTGTTAAACTTTGGTTGCATATCACTATGAAACTACACAAGGAAACAACAAAATCAATAAATGCAACTTATATAGAGAAGGCAAGTTTCGATAAATT